CTCCAGAGTCTTCAAATCCAGACTGGCTGCCTCTCTGGATGATGCTTTAGTCAAGCATCCCTTACTGGGCTCAATACAGGGTAACTGGATTAAATTCTATGGTCTGTGTTACACAGGAGAGGAGACTTGATGATCTAATGATCCTTTTTGGCCTTAAAATCTGAGACTCTATGAACAATTCCTCTTGGCACAGACACACCAGAGAATCTAGCCCGGGGAATCTAAGGGAGTTTCACTGTCAGGACATCATCTCATTTGGTTGAACATTCGTATTGGAGGGACCAGAGGTAATTGCAAGTTACATCGACTTAAACCGTCCTGGACTCTCCTAATCCACCCCTGAATTCATCCCACTGACTTCATTCCACTCACTGTACAGATTCCCGTCACCTCGACTTCCCATGGGGACTCAGAGGCTGTCAGGAAAGGATGAGCACTGAGGATTCTGAGCTTTGCAGATCCCTTATCTCAGAAAAACAACACAGGAAGCCAACCTGATGTACATCTTGTTACATGACATCATATCAGCCAAAAGTTTTGCAGACAGGAAAGAGCTATCTTCCCACCATGCCTTGCTCACACTTTCTGCTGTCCCGCCACACCGCCCAGCCTGGGCACCTCATAATCATTTGCTTCCCCAAGTAACTTATTCCTCATGGGTGACATTTACCACAGTGCAGAGGGCCCAGCACCATTTCAGTCCTGGCCCCAACGGAACATACGTAATGCCCATACTGAGCAATTGCTTACTATCAGAATGGACTGAGATTTCAGTGTCTTGGTGTCTTCAATTAACCTGGTAACTATTCATCCTAAGGTAGTACAAATATAATGCTTAGGTCACTTATATACTCTCCTAAACCCAGGAATACACTTTCTGGAAAGTAACATATCTTAATAAAAACCCAGACCTTCATCCAGATGACAGTGTGGCTACTTATCAGTGAGGTGTTGTCCGTATCTCAGCTATGGTTATAGCTCAAATCTGCAACTGTCACCTTCAAGAAGCAGTCGGTCAATGTGCCAGATCCCCAGCTGGTGTAAACCAGCATCGCTCCATTAGAGTCAATGGAGTCAGATCCCCAGTTGGTTAAATGGGCAAAGCTCCATTGGAGTCAACACACCCATTTACACCCACTCAGGATCTGGCCCTATATGATGAACTTCCACCCACTCGGGCATAGCGTCATGCCCAGAACTAGATTAACGAGAACGAGGAAGCTCTTCAGAAGTGTTCTATGTCCAACCTGGGGAAGTTAAACTCAGGCTCAGCGCAGAGGCAGTTTGAACCAAAACACTGAGCTGATGCAGGAGGCCAAGCCCAGACTGCAAGGGCTAGTGAGCCTCCCAGCATAGGCTGAGCTACACGTCCCCACACAACACAGACCACGCACTGCAACTGGAATGCTCTCCCCTCGCCAGAGCAGTTCTTCCCCAGCAGCACTAGTATTGTGGATGTTTGATGCAGTGGCTGGTTGCTCCAACTGGGAGTCAAGTATAAAAGCCTGCAGAGCTGCTCAGTCAGGGCTGGCGGCTGAGAAAGGAGGATACCCAGCGGGGGCTCCAGCCCAGGAGCAGTTGTGACCCTTACCAGGGACAGCTGAGGAGCCAGGGACCGGGACCAGAGGCCGGCAGCTGTTGGAACCCCAGGGAGCGCCGGGTGCTGAAGAACCTGGAGACCCTCATGCCACAGGGACTGCTACAATTAGAGAACTGATAGGAAGTGACCCAGGGAAGGGAAGGGAAGGGAAGGGAGTGGTATCTCCCACCACTCTGAGGCAACATGTTGCGGTAGGATTCCCTGGTGACCCATGGCGGATCACGCCGTCACTGACAGGGCCCTGGGTTGGAGCCCGGTGAAGGTGGGTGGGTCGGGGCTCCCCTACCGGGGGTCTCTAACCCCCCCCCCTTGTTTTGGGGTGAAAAGATAGTTCACCAACCCCTCTTTTACCTCAAGGAGATAGAGGAACTCCGGCCACTGGGCTGCACTATCCTACGAGGGGAAGAGAGTTTGGAGAGACTCTGGCCATTGGGCCACGCTGCTTTAGGAGCGCACTACATGGACTCTAGCCGCAAAGCCGCGCTATCCTACCAGGGGAAAAGGATTTAGAGGGACTCTGGCCATTGGGCCATACGGCCCTGACTACCGGGGAGGTAGTAGAACCGACGTAGATGCAAGGAGGTGGGGTTAACCTCACCCCCCCCTTGAATCAGGCGGCAAAAAAGCTGGAGCCGGCCCTGCCACCAGGCCATTTGTTTGATGGTGGTAAGGGGTGGCAACCAAGTGGTTCACCCCATGAGCTTCCCAAAGACTTTTCTTGGTCCCTGCCAGGAAATTAGTTCCTAATCCGCAAGGATGTCGGAGAGCCAACCTACCCTGGCAAAAATGACTGTTAATGCCTGGCACACACTTTTAGCCCTGGTGTTGCCATTGGGTGGAAAAATCCATGAAAGTCAGTATGTACTGTTTTCCTCTGGGTGTCTTTTTAGGGAAAGGACCCAGAATATCCACAGCTAGTCGCTGAAATGGGACTTCAATTATGGGTAGTGGCTGAAGAGGGGCTTTGACTAGGTCTTGGGGTTTTCCCATCTTTGGCACACCTCACAAGACGAGACATAGGTAGAAACATCCTTGCCCATTCCCTCCCAGTGGAATGACCTTCCCATACAGTCTTTGGTCCTGTTCATCCCAGCATGGCCACTAGGATAATTGTGGGCTAAGTTTAAGAACTTTACCTGGTACTTAGCCTGGAGGCTTTTATCTGCTTCCTGCTTGGTTTGGAACTGTTCCCTTGATGCTGGAGACATCAGTTCCCCACTAGTTTGTGGACTTGGGCTTAGTCCCTCTGGAAGCAATGTAGGTGATGGACTTGTTTTCATTGACTGTGAACCGCTCTCCACTGGTGCACTATGTTCGATTTCAGGCGCCGTCTGAAGCCTCTTGTGCAGGTTTAGCTGCGGCTGCCTGTGCAGGCTCGCTGGTGCCTGCTGGTGCTGGAGTTGCAGACAGGGTTACAAGCACTGGTTTCAGTGCTGGCAATGGTTCTGGTGCTGGTTGCTCTGCCTGTTCCAGTTCTGGGACTGGTTCTGGTTGGGTCTTTGGGACTGGATTCACTATTGCTGTTGCAGTCGTTGGCAGGGCATCCGGTTCCACCACCTCAGTCTGGGTCTCTGGTAACACAGACGGGGCCCTTTTAGAAAGCTCAGGAACAGGGGTAAGTGTGGAGGCTTGCTTAGCCTGGCTGAGGATGACCATTCCCACCCTCTTGGCTAGCTTCACATGATTGGTCAAGTCTTCTCCCAGCCACATGGGAATGGGATAATCAGCATAGACTGCAAAAGTCCACATTCCTGACCAGTCCTTGAACTGCTCCATTTGCATTAGGAGAGACAGATCTTCCAGAGATTTAACACTTGCTCCTGATTTCCAGGCATCCCAATTTTTTACAGTGTGGTAGGCGTGCCATGAAAATGCCACGTTTGGTTTCCACCTTAGGGTTCTGAACCACCGACAGGCATGCTCGGGTGTTAGCCCCATTCTAATTCTGGCCTTTTTTAAAATAAGTTCGTAGTTGTTCATGTGTTCTTTAGGCATTTCAGCTGCCACCTCTGCTAAGGGTCCACTGAGCTGCGGCCTCAGATCCACCATGTACTGGTGTGTAGAGATGCTGTAGCCAAGGCAGGCCCTTTCGAAATTTTCTAAGCAGGCCTCTGTATCATCGCCTACCTTGAATGTGGGGAATTTCTTGGAATGGGGAGTGGTACCTGGAGAAGGACTGTTACGGTTATCTGGTAGACTCAGCTTAGCCCTTTCCAGCTCTAAGCACTTCGGCTCTAACTCCGTCTCCAAGCGTTTTGCCTCTGCCTCCAAGCGCTTCGCCTCCATTTCCATCTCCAAGTGTTTTGCCTCCGTCTCCAAGCGTTTTGCCTCTTTTCTTTCCTCCACTTCCAACTCCAAGTGCTCTAAGTCCATTTGTCTTCCATGGTCCTTCTGTTTTTCTTCAGCTTCCAATCTGGCTAATTCCAGTTTCTTCTGGACCTCACTTTCTGTCATCTTTGCTAACCTTCCTGCTCTTAGCCTAACCTAGCCTGAGAGCTAGAAAACAAACAAACAAACAAACAAAAAAACCCAGCTTGTGAATTCCCTTGCTGTAATTTAACTACTCTGCCCTTAGGCAAAGAAAAAAACCTCCAGCTGCTCTCAGCTTAAAAGAAAAAAAAGTGTCCTTTAAAAAAAAAAAAACTCCCTGGTTTTCAAGCATCCAAAAGAAAAAATGTGTCCTTCCAAAATCCTGAGGTCTGTACTTCTGGTTCAAAATGACCATGGCACATGGTACAGCTGCCCAGGAGAAATTTTATGCTACCCTTATTTGTATGTTTATGATAGAGGTCTGTGGAGAGCCCCTCACTTTGCTCCCTGTTGGGGGCTCACCTGCTGAGCGTTTGGGTTGTGCTGCCTTTCTGGGTTCCCACTGGGTCTGAAAATCGGAGATACCTCCTTATTTCTGATGCACTGGGGCTGTTTTAGTGGGGAAGGTTATGAGGGTTCTCACTATGTCACACTGGATTATGATTCATTGCGGAAAGTGCTCTGGGGTAACAGCTCTGCCTGGCTCACCCGATCCAGACTAATGAGAAAGCAGCTTCCTATAGCTCATGGGGTTCAGGGATTCAGCATGAAACAGTGCTTTCTTTGATACAGAAATGAGCTGGGGGAGGCAGTTGTACCACTTCCCTCTGCTGGATGGAATGAGAAAGGCTCGGCCATGGGCCACATGCCCTGTAGTGCTGCTAGATAACAAGGGCTCTCAGGTAGCAGGGCCTTTGCTTTTAGAGCTCTGGGATCTGAGTTCTCTCTCCACCGTCATCATAAAATGACCCATAGGCACTGGGTGCCACGTGGGGAGAGCCATGGGGCACTACGTGGCCTTGGGTTTGTTACTGCATGGGATATAGACCCACAATAACAGAAACAACATTGTCTCAGTGATCTCATGAGGATGATGATGGTGTTATTGTGTTTCCAGGCAAAGACAGCCAAGGAAGAGGCTCTCTGCATCCACTGGAAATTCATCGCTGGGAAAGGCACCTGGTCTCCAGCTGGCTGCACCATTCTGCACACAAAGAGCACTCACACCACCTGCAGCTGTGACCGTCTCCCCAGCTTCGCTCTCCTTATGGGTCCCACCACAGTGGAGGTGTCTCACTCTCAGACTCAGCTCAAAGGGCTGGACCCTGAGCCATTGGTGGCTTTTCTGGGGTAAAGTCTAAGTAGGAAGGAACCTCAGGATCTCAGGGCCGAGGGGTCTGGGGTCACTGGTTATTCTCCCTTTGCTGTGTTACAGGAGAGTTACCCACTGACCATCATCACCTATGTGGGACTGACCCTCTCCCTGCTGTGCCTTCCCTTCACCATCCTCACCTTCCTCCTGTGTTGCTCCATCCGCAATGTCAGCACCTCCCTCCACCTGCAGCTCTGCCTCTGCCTCTTCCTGGAGGACCTGCTCTTCCTCACCGCGGTGACCCTCACCAGCAGTCAGGTATGGCCTGATTCTCCCCTGCTCTGTTCCTCCACTCAGGAGCGGCAGGATTCTATAATTTTTGGTGGTGCCCAGAACGGTCCAAGTCCTTCCCCCCCCCCCCCGCCGCCCAGCTGCCTTGTAAGCCAATATACAGTAACTCCTCACTTAAAGTCATCCTGGTTAATATCGTTTTGTTGTTACATTGTTGATCAATTAGAGTAGTGGCTCTTTTTTTCCCCGCGGGACACTCGAAAATTGCTGAGGGTCTTGGCAGACCACTTAATGATCTTTTCAATGTTGTTTGTACCATTAGCTAACTATTGTAAAGCGCTTTGGATAAAAGTGCTATATAAAAAAACCCCTGAATAATAATTAACTTTTTTTGTTCTACACATAAAAGCACACAACTCATATTTTAATATCAGTAGTCTTAACCTTTCTAATGCGATGGATGTGACTTCTCTCCCCCACTGCAGCGGCCCCTGAGCTCAGGCTGGAAAGGAAGGGGCATTCTCTCCCCTGCCACAGCAGCCACAGAGCTGAAGCTGGGAAGGAAGGGGGTCTCTCCCAGCAGCCGCAGCCGTGGAGCCTCTTTCTCTGGCCGCCGTAGCCCCGCACGTCCCAAATTACCCCCACCCCCTCTTCTCACACCACTGCCCCCTCCCACTTACCCTCTATTCCCCCCACCACCACCACCTCCCCTTACATGTGCATCTTCTCCAGGGTCCAGGCACATAATTAGTGGAGCCATGCCTGCGCGACTCCACTAATTAGGTGGGCGGCCCTTCATTCTCTCATGTGCGGCCACCCAAGAGTGCAACTTAGAGGGAACTATCCGCAGACCACCTGAATGGAGCTTGCAGACCAGTGGTGGTCCATGGACCACAGTTTGAGAACCTCTGAATTAGAGAACATGCTCGTTTAAAGTTGTGCAATGCTCCCTTATAACGCTGTTTGGCAGCCACCTGCTTTGTGCACTGCTTGCAGAAAGAGCAGCCCATTGGAGTGCTAGTGGTAGGGGCTTGGAACCAGGGTGGGCCGACAGCCCCCCTATCAGCTCCCCTAAGTTCCCTGTGTGGCTGCCGCCCAGCAGACTATCAATTGCCGGGCAGTTCAGGTGTCCCTCTCCCGCACTGCCATGTGCTGCTCCTGCCCTCTGCCTTGGAGCTGCTCCCATGAACCTTCTGCTTGCTGTGTAGGGAGGGAGAGGGAAGAGGGGTGCTGTTGTCAGGGTGTTCCCCTCCCGCGTTCCTGCCCCACCATCTCCACAGAGCGGGGGGGACGGGACATGACAGGGCTCAGAATGGAGGGAGCTTGCTGGCAGCAGCTGCTGTCTCAAAGTCTCTCTCTCACACACAGGGTGTGTGTCTCTGTCCCTCTCTGCCATGCTGTCTCCCCACCTCCATTCGTGCTGCTTTATAGAGTGTGAGGCTGCATTAACAACAATGTGTTAACCCTTGAGGGCTCAGCCAATTGCTAGTTCATCATTTAGCAGTAAGGCATTTCCTGGGAAATAGCCCACCCCCTTCCACCCTCTTACTCCACCACCTCTACCAAGCGTCACAATCATCAATGCTGTGTACTGTATTAAATTGTTTGTTTAAAACAATTTCTGTGTATATATCACAGAATCATAGACTCATAGAATATCAGGGTTGGAAGGGACCTCAGGAGGTCATCTAGTCGAACCCCCTGCTCAAAGCAGGACCAATCCGCAACTAAATCAGCCTTATACATCCTCTATATATAAAATATAGTCTTTTGTCTGGCAAAAAAAAAATTCCCTGGAACCTAACCCCCCCATTTACATTGATTCTTATGGGGAAATTGGATTCACTTAACATCGTTTCTCTTAAAGTAGCATTTTTCAGGAACATAACTACAACATTAAGTGAGGAGTTATTGTATATTTTTTTAAATAATGTCAAAATGTGAGGGCTCTGGGGTGGGGCTGGTGATGAGGGGTTTGGGGTGTGAGTGGGGCTCAGGGCTGAGGCAGAGGGTTGGGGTGCAGGGGGTGAGGGCTCTGGGGTGGGACAAGGCTGGGGACACGGAGTTTGGGGTGCAGACATGCTGTCTTAGGACAAGGGCCAGAGAGTAGGATTCCCCCCAGGCTTCTCCCTGAAGGCAGCAGAAAGCTCTGGGGGGGGGCCCCTCCCACTTCCCCCCTGCACCACACTCACCTCGCACCACTGTCACTGCACGTGCTTCTAGGGCCCCTCTCAGGTACAGGAAGCCCCCTCGCCTCTCCTGCAGTGGGTGCCGCGGGCAGGGGATGCCATCACATGTGCGTCTCCTCCCCTACTGCTACCCCCACTGTAGCCTCACGGGGGGTGGGGGGTGGGGCTGTCCCTTGTCCAGCATGGGGCAGGAGCAGTGACTGCAGGTGAGGTGGGGGGGCTGTGCTGGTGGAGGGTCCTTCTGGAAAATTAAAGGATCTGAGGGGGACGGGCAGGCTTCAGGGTCAGTCTGCCCTGGCAGTAGTGGGTGGGGGGCACTAGGACCCTGTGGCGGCAGTTGATGCAGGGAGGCAGCATGGAGGTGCAGGGAAGAGACAGGGACACTGCTCCGGGGCCTCAGGGAGATGGGTGGGGGCAGCAAGTGGGGGCCGGAAACACTCGGACGCAGGGGTGGCAGGCGGGGCCAGGGGAGAGACCGGGCCCTGAACCAGGGCCGGCTCTAACTTTTTTGCCGCCCCAGGCAAAAAAGAAGAGCACCACCCCGCCGTACCTCCTGCCCCGCGAGCGCCGTGCTGCTATACCCCCACCCGCGAGCGCTGCGCTGCCGAAATCCCCACCCCCCAGCACCACACGCCCAAAGCCCCACCCCCCCCTCGCGCCGTGGAAACAAAAAACCCTCCAGCGCTGCCCCTACAAACCCCCCAAAAATAAATAAATAAAAACCCGAGCGCCGCCTCGCCCCAAGGTGCCGCCCCAAGCACGTGCTTGGTGGTCTGGTGCCTGGAGCCAGCCCTGTCCCGAACATTGGTATTGTAGGTCGTGAATTACATCAGAGCCAGCTGGTTCAAGAAGAGCTTCATGTATTCCCAGCCCAGCCAGTGGTGGCTATTCCTGCAGCATTCAACCCAGATGGCTACGGAACTCCCCAACAGTAAATGCAGACCCTTCACCCTCCACACTGACACTAAGCTGCCTCGAGCACTGTAGTTGAGTTGCCCACCTGCCATATATATACAGACCTCACCCCACTAATGATCCCAGCTCGACTCCCAGGTCCCAGGCTGGGTTTGTGGTGCTGGTGGAAAGGAAACAACCAACCTTCTTCCTGTGTACTAAGCCCTGAGGATCCCCTCTGCCTTCTCCCTCCTCTAAAATGAGGAATTTCCACTAAGAAGGGTGTGGCTTCTTCTAGACACTCCAGGCGAGCTCCTCGGATGGTGTAAATCAGCGTAGTTCCACTGCTTTCAATGCAGCTAAGCCGATTTACATCAGCTGAGTCTCTGGCTCTCCATCAATACTGCACGAATCTGCCAGAGAGAGAGTAATCTGCACTCTGTTGGCACCAGCAGGCCAGACTTGCTCACATCTCTCTCTCTAATCTCTCTCTGTCCCCCCAGGTTCTTATTCCACACGCATCACCATGGTATCTGAGCTCTGAGTGTTTACACCGGTGTAAATCAGGATTAACTCCATGGATTCTTATGGAATGTTTCTGGATTCACACTGGTATAACTGGGGTCCACACCTGGCTCTGAGACTGTGTTCAAGGTTTCAGTGTAATCCATTTTTTGTTTCAGGATACAATCCCCGTCTTTTTGGAAGTTCACAGCCACTTTTTCTGCAGCTCTTCCAAAGTGAGCAAGACCCTTCCACACACGTGAATCTACAGGGACCATAAGGCAACATCTCCTTAGAACGACAAAGCTGATTTTCACCAGCTGAATAGCTGAATGGTGCTGAGGAGATAGGGGAGATATGGTGAAAGTCCAAAGTCTTAACCAAAAAACCATCCTAAGGCAGCAGAACTGAATTTAGTTCCTGATTCTGCTACAGGCTCCCTATGTGACTTTAGCCAAGTCACCTGATCCCCTCTCCCCTCTCTGTCTAACAGGGGTAGTAATCCTTCTGTTCTCCCACCTTGTGTCCATCTTGTCTACTTAGCTCGTAAGATCTTTGAGACAGGGATTCTCTCTGACTGTCAAGTATCAGAGAGGTAGCCGTGTTAGTCTGAATCTGTAAAAAGCAACAGAGGGTCCTGTGGCACCTTTAAGACTAACAGAAGTATTGGAGCATAAGCTTTCATGGGTGAATGCCCACTGTGTGTATGTACAGCACCAAGCATAGGGGACTTTATGTGCCCAGATAATATAAATAAATACTGGCAAACAGAAGTGGGCTCACAGTCATTGCTCTCAGTTTGGAGAAGTTTCTTATGGAAAGATGACATCAACGAATTTCATAGTGTTGTGAGAACAGCACAGTTTGAAAACAAATTTTCTTAAAAAAAACCTAAAACAGTAGACGAGCATATAGTGGTGCAGTGACAGCGCTGGAGCTGAAAATCCATTACAGGCCAGGTCCTCAGCTGGGGTAAACTAGTGCATTTTCAGGGATCCTTCTGGGCCGTGGGAAGCAGACAATAGCCATGAAGCAGTGTGCTTCAGCCATGCCCTCAGCAGCACCTCCACCCTAGCAGTCACAACCCCCATGCCAGCAGCTGGGAGCAGGGCTAATGTAGAAATTTTATGCCAGCTCTACAGCAGCCAGGAAGGACTCCTGCACAGGAGGGTTAATCACAGGCCATTTCTGCCCACTTTAAAGCCCCTTTACACTGCCAGATTGGCATAAAGAGGCTTTAGAATTGGGCCCTAGGTTTCCAGGACAGGCTGACCGTGATAACAAACCCTCAAACCAAAGAAGCAACCAAGGTCCATAAGCAGGTTATTTTATTATTTACACATTACAGTTAAAGAGCAGAGCTAGCTCACACACATAGCACGCAAGGGTCTGCAAGCCCCTTCGCCCCCGTCCCCCCCGCCATGGTGTGCTTTCCCTAAG